CTACCTGAACTCACTCTTTCAGACCAGTCAATGTCTATGTCTGTATTCCGTTACTATCCTGATTTGCCACTAATCACAGTTAACACTAAACAATACTGCATCTGTAATTTTTAGTTGCATTCTCTATACTTCTATGGTGTTCTCCTGCAGTTCAACAGGTTTTGTGCTGATGGGGATTCTCAAAGCTAAGATAAGCAATGGATTGATAGTTATTTTTTCAGCATTTCTTTTATGAATTTATTTTAATCATTTTAACACGAAAATCTATTTCCTGTTGTGATAAGAAACATAATGCTTTTTTTTGCAAATAGCCGTCACCATATTAAATGGGATGTAGATCGGGATGTACTCTGTCACTTTGCATTGCAGTCTTAAAGAGATGTAATGCCGTTGAGGAGCAAGAAATGACAAATATAAGGCACTTTCTACACTTCACTTGAATGTCAAGACAGAGTCTCTAAGAGGCTGGCATTTGCATGCTAATCTTCTGCACCTCTAGTCTCTTTAAATTCTGTATGAGAAAGCGATCAAGGAGTTTGAAGTCAAGCCACAGTCTATGCATTTTTAGTTCCTATTAATCATAGTCACACTGGAGAAAAGATGATCACAGTGAAATAAGTGTCCTCATTATGCATAATGTAATTTTTGATTACCTTCAGTATTTTGTACTGCATGACAGGGCTTTGTCATAATGTAGATTAATTGTTTTAGCCTGGCAGAGCCTGACCAGGACATAAGAACAGTTTGGATCTGTAGTTAGCAGCAGTAATGTTAAATTAATGTGAGCAGAGACTGAAATAATGTAGTCATTTTTAGCACATCTCATTAATGCGCTTCCTTTTGCAGGGGGAAGGTGAGGGCCAATTTGAAGTAAATTTTAATTGCTACTCTAGGCAAGGATGAGTGTTTTTCTTACAATGTTTGTGTACCCAGAAGGCAGCTGCCTGTGTGTTGGTGTGCTGTAGTGTGCGGAATACTGACCCAGACTGCGAATGTCAATAGTAATATCCACGTGGCCGTGCTCTGCGCTGTGGTACATGGCCTCTCGCAGGGCCTTCAGCTTGGCCTTACTGTTGCGGCCAGAATCCAGGTGGGCTGGATTCCCTTCTCCAAGCTCGGACCCTTCTGCCAGGATCTCCTCCAGGGACAGTACATCGCTCTTCCCTTTCTCTGTCTGGGAGAGCAGCTTCCGAAACACATTCCTGTGGGAGAGGACAAACTCTAGCAATGCAAGGCCTTGCTCTGACTGCAAGTGAAACATCGTCTTTTGGGAGCTCCAGTTGTTATTTCTGATCCAAGTTATTAGCACGATGAAGGGGGTATTAGCTACAGAAGGGTTCCACTGTGGGAATCATTGCATGCTTCCCCTTCATAACCACCAGTATCACAGCAAAAAGTACAACCGCGCCAAGGAGCCATTGCTGACGGACCTGACATTCCATACAAGTAATGAGCAAGTGTAATATTTATTTCAATCACTATTCAACCTCATGGGAAATATCCACTGAGAAATGAAAAGTCCTGACATGGACAATAGTTAACATTATGTCTGGTGTCTGTCAAAGGATGAGCAAACATTTCTCTACAGTGATGCTTTTTGGTGCCAGACTAATTGGTTCTGATTATAGGAAAATGTCTCATTTCAAAGTTCCCTAGTACTTCCTTTCTGTGTATGGGAAGAAAAGGGCTTAGGAACAGGAAAGACAGGGCTTGGGGTTACCTGTGGCCATGAGCAGCTGCCTGGCTATATGAGTTCATGTCCCCCTGCGGAGCCGAAGAAATCCCATTCCGATACATCGTCCCTATCATGGGATCTGCTCCTCTCTCCAGCAGCAGACTGACAAGCTCAAAGTTACCTGCACAGAACCACATCACACACACACAAAAAGCCTGGTTTCAACAACACCGAAGCACAGCATAGCAGATACAGCATAAATTAAAGCTTATTTTCCAGCACTGGTTTTCTCTTCATCCATTCAAGCTTCTTAGATGATCCCTTTTCCTGCTCTCAAATACAAAGACATTTTCATCATGCACAGCATGCACAACAATTCTGGAAATACAGTGGGTTTCAGAATTAGTTCTGTGATAAACGCTCTCTACATTTCCCTACACACTCTCAGTAGTAAAGCTTGAGAAATATTCTTATTATTGGCCTTAACATCCTTTTTTTCTTTGTGACATATTCTTGTCTATTGGTCCTCAAACTTGAATGACCACGTGTTACTGTCATGACCTCTGCAGCCAGATGGCACTCCCACTCTGTCCTGTCCCTAGTTTCCTGTGCTTTGCTCTCCTTCCGGTGTCTCTCTCTCTCTGGTGCTATATATTTCCGGGTCACTCATTCCCCTTCACTCAGCATTGACGTTCGGATGTCCTGAGACCCGCCTAGCACCAGGTCGCCCCACGTCCGCTGTCTGAGGGCATAGGTTTCTATACGACTCCTGAACTGCTGAGCCCGGGCGAACCCCTGTCCTGTTGCTACGCATAGGGTCTTCTTCCACTCTCCTGCCATTCCACAGTTCGTCCCTTCCGACATCCGTGACAGAATGCTGAGCCATCTCCTGACCCCGCGAGTGGCGCTTTTTGTTTTTCCACAGTTTTTTTTCTCTATCTGGGTTTTTTTTCCCTCTCAGCTCTTCTATTCTAATCGCAGGATGCTTCTCCTGACATCCGTGCCTGTGATCGGGACTTGGGTTGTCATTTCGGTATCCGTGATTGAATGTTGAGCTGGCCCTCCTATCCTCATTGCTGGATATCACTCCGGTCATCCGTGCCTGTGAGCGGGCCCTGTGCCTGGCTTTCCTCGGGTTGTCCACTCCGATATTAGCGATAGGGTGGTGAGCCTTTTTTCCTCTCCCATTCTCATTGCTGGATATCACCTTCCTGAAATCCATGCCTGCGTTTGCTCGGGTTGTCCACTCCGATATCAGTGATAGAATTTTGAACATGCTTATTGCCCAGTCTGCGGTATTTTTCCTGGGTTTTTGTGTTTTTATTTTTTGTTTTTTGCTTTTTTGCTATTTTTTCACTTCCTGGTTTCCCCTTCTCTCTGGTCCCCCGTCCCCTGTGTCTCGGAACTTTTGGTTCCTATCTGTTTTTTGTGGTTTGTTTCCCTGGTCTCCCAGGTTTATTGTTTTTGTGGTTTGTGCTTGTGTACAGGTCTTTTTTGTTCTAAGTCTCCAGAGCTCTACCTCCACGGTTCATCCCTTCCGACATCCGTGACAGTTACAGCTTCTCCAGAGCTTCTCCACAGTTCTTCTAGAGCTTCCCCAGAGCTCTTCTAGAGCTTTTCCATAGCTCTTCCAGAGCTTCTTTAGAGCTTCTCCAGAGGTCTCCCAGAGCTTCTCCAGAGCTCCTCTATAGTTTCTACCCAGTTCCTCTAGAACGTCTTCAAAGCTCCACTAATGCTCCTTCAGAGCTCTTGACCCACCTGCAGCAGATGCCAGTTGCAGTGGAGTTTCTGCATAATTTTCAGCCCCATCCTGCAAAGAGCCTTCAACATTCGCCCCAGCATCCAGCAACAGCTAAGAAAAGAAAGAGGCCAACACTTGGTACTTAATACTGTCCCTGGAGTAATTTAATGAAGAAAAACAAAAGGTAGTGGAAATACAGTTTATTTCCAGATATAATGGTGTACTTTCTGACAAAGTGGACACATTAGCAAAATGCGATTATTTCAAACATGCTTGAAGAAAAGCCGGGTTAATGGCAGTATAACTGTGAATTTCAATGTGATGCGCAAGTAGAGTGTGTGTGAATGTGTCAATGCATTTAACCCTGACTAATGAGAGAAACAAGGCATGTTCTTCTAAATGTGGAAGTTTTGTTCTTAAAGAGACACTGGATCTGATGGTGTGGCTCAAGTATTTAATATTTAATGAAGATCACCATGGAACTATTGTTCATCCAGGTAGAGCATCCAATATCAGCCTTAAAACGCAACCAGCAAATGCCCAGATATCAAGGAGCACCAAAAAACTGATGGCTTTCTACAGCAGAGCTCCACCGTGATCACAGTGGCAACACAATGAAACAGGTCCAGCACAGCACAAAGATGCCTCTGCCCCACACGTTTGGACCACATTAAATGTACATCTTATTAGGTGATCGCTTTTAAATTTCAAGTCTTTCATATCGAATGCAAACAACATGCAGTGCTTACAAATACAAGATTGATTATTATTATTATTATTCATAATAATAATAATTGATGTCACCATGGTAATGTTAATAAAATTAACAGGTATTAAATTAAAAAAAAAAACAGGCAAAACATCACTACCTGAACAACAGGGATGTGTCCATGTAACACAGCAAAAGTGAGGGGTGTCCCATGGCGAGTTTCAGGGTAAACTGAGGGGCACCTGTGCACTGTGTTTGGCACCTGGAAGTCCAAGGGCATGATTGAAGAGAAAAACACAGGAATTAAATGTCTGTTCTGTTTACTGTACAGTGCTCTTGCTCACTTGAAAACCACTGAATGGTCCAGCTCCAGGTTACTGTAAGGGCTCCTTGCGAGAGTATAGTTCAGGTTGACTCTGACCTCTGCAGATCGAGGCCTCCTAACACAATGAGCAACAGAACCTCCTCACATGTAGCATCACAAGGGTGCAACTCATTGCCCAAATCCATTAGCAGTTCTGTGACTATTGATATTTTTAATCTCACTTAAAGCCCTATTTTCCCCTAAAGGCTTTGATGTAGAGTTCAGTTTTACTAGGCGGAAATTCTTTGTTTGATTTTCTCTTTCTTTCTACTTCAGCTGTGTGTATTACAGTATGTGTGCCATTTTAGAGCTCTTTGCGTTTGAGTTGAAAGGGGCTCATAAAATTCTGCTGTGCTACAGCATCATTATTATGTGCATGATATGTGACAAGAGGATGGAAGTGTGGAACAATACGATGCTTTAAGAGGGCTAAAATTTAAGAACATCATCTAAGCTGCGCTGCTCAATGGGTTTCTTCTCCTGTTCTCAGAAAGTGCTATCTTCTTTATACTAGCTTGAACTCTTTGTTCCCATTGAAATTTTACTACTCTTAATGGACAATTCAGTCTATTCACTGTGTAGAAAGAATTAATTACTACTTTTGAACCAGCTGAACTCTACATAAAATCTTTGAAATATAATAAAGTCTAAAAAGAATACAAGAATATACTAAGCTGTTAAAAATAACGAATGTTTATAGTGCCTTGCAAAAATATTCAGACCCTTCCTATGGTGTCTCATTCTGTGAAATTACAAAATGATGCAGTTTTTTTAAAACTCAATATTTTATTCAAAATCTGAATATTCAGCTGAATCAGAACTATAACATAATGCCTCCACCTACATGCCTGACACTAGGAATGGTGCTGACTGATTCTCTCTGTTGATTTGTCTCAGATATAACTCTTTGAATTTAAACCAAAGGGTTCCAATTTTGCCTTTTCACAAAACCTTTTGCAGTATGTCTTAACTCAGTTGCAAACTCCATGTGGGAACTGAGATGGGTTTTCAGCCCTGTTATTCAGGCCTGATCTAAACAGTGTCTAGGTGGTATGGTACTGTACATGTTTGACTTATTAGCGATCCACTTCATATTCAGTGTTTTTAATTTTTTACACCCTTCTCTTAATCTGTACTTTTCTAGAACTTTATTTTAAACAGTTGTTTTAAATGACCCTTGCTCTTCTTGATTGAATCCTTTCTTGAAATTCTCTAGTTGACGAAGGGACACATGCATTTATTGTGAAATCATGTAAATCACTATTATTGCACACAGACAGGGGCCACTTAACTAACTGGCTCGTTAAGTTAATTTTGTGCACCTACATTAATTTAGGTTTGCCATAGCAAAAGGTATGAATACCTACAGTATGCAACCATGGGTTTTTTCAGTTTACTTTCATATTATCTATGTACTGTACTTCTTTCCTTGAATGTGTGGAGTAAGTTGTATAACATCTAATTTAAATACAAAATGCATATTGAACTTCAATAGTCACATGACTGTAATCTTTAAAGCAACAAAATGGGAATCTTCATGGGTCCAAATATTTTTGCAAGACACTATGATAAATAACCAAAATGGCAAATTGAAAAAAATGCAGAGCATATCTAAGTCATGAGCTGAGAACAATAATAATGCTCAGGATGGAATCCCATGTAATTATAAAAGACAACATGATTAACTCTTTCTGAATCCAAGCCACTAATAGACCTCCTGAAATTTCAGTGACTTGACAAGCTTTCTTTGCCTGGTGCTTGTTCTTAAATCTTCATTAGTCTCCCTCATCTGGGAGAACGCTAAAGCAGAGACATATGGACAAGATGGTCAGACTCAAGCAATGCAACGGTAAGGGTTTACAGTTGTAATGAGAAAACATAGGAGACACGAAGGACCAAAAAGAAAGGACTTCTGTTCAGTACATGGAATACATCACGGTACAACTAAACTCTGCTGTCCCCCAAATAAAAATTCCTTCAATAAACTGGAATCAATTAATTTAATTTTTTTAAAATGAATTGGAATCAATTGTGTTTGGAAAAAAACTTTCACCTCACTGGCCAGGTGCTCGATCAAAAGCACATACCTCAGTGTTAATGTCAGCTCCAGCATCCAGCAGCATCTGGACCATGGCCTCATCTCCGCGGACACAAGCGTACATGAGAGGAGTCATTCCCTGAAAACACAAGAGCAGCACAAGCGTACATGAGAGGAGTAATTCCCTGAAAACACAAGAGCAGCACAAGCGTACGTGAGAGGAGTCATTCCCTGAGAACACAAGAGCAGCACAAGCGTACATGAGGGAGTCATTCCCTGAGAACACAAGAGCAGCACAAGCGTACATGAGAGGAGTCACTCCCTGAGAACACAAGAGCAGCACAAGCACCCTGTCAGAGGGCATTACTGCAGAACTGAGGCCCAAGCACAGCAGGTGACTTCTACAGCTGTGGTCCTCAAAATTAAATAAGGTGGATTCTATGAAGAGCAGTCCAAAGCTCGGAGAACAAATGCAACATTGATTTAATAATCACATTTACGTTTCAGGGCTAGAGTGCACTGAGGAAGATAAGCTCATTGATACTAGACTATTAGCATATTATTTATACAGATGCAAAATATAAGGAAGGGTCTTTACATTTTTCTAGCTATTAAACATTGGAGCAGCTTCATTTCCTATCTGAGATTTGGAAACCCTCCAGGAATCTTCAAATATCTCCTAGCCTAGCTAGGAGGAGCCCCTGGGGTCTTTTCATACACATTTGAGCATCATTGTTCTAGATAACAGCTCTGAATGTTCCCGTGAAAAAGCAATAATTTGCACTTTAAACAAATCTCACAAAACAAACTCCCCATGCGATCACATTATCTTGTGAAGCCACTTTGGTCTTCTTTCACAAGGGGAGCTATTTTGTTTTTTGAAAGTCAGGAACAGGACAGGGAATTCAGCGCGCTGGGGGTTCCCGGATCAGCGCCGGCGGGCCTCTGACCTGCTCACTCATGCTGTTGATGCCCTCTGGGCCCAGCAGAGACACGGCTTGCTTGACCAGGTCTGTCCGCCCGCAGTTCAGCATCCGAAAGCCTAGGTCCTGCAGGAATTTGGCTTCTGTGGCAGCAGCGTCCAGCTTCCGAGAGGCACAAAAACAGTCATCCGTCCTAGAGGGCATTTCAATTGAAATGTGCATCTAGATTAGAAGGTCATTACGGTCCAGAGTCGAAGGCTTGAACAAAGACAACGTCTTACATTGATGCTGACGGCCGCTGCTTTAGCCTTTGCAAATATTAATCACGGCTGAAACTCCTGCTCGTGTAAACCGTTTATTAATGCTCCGCCGGGACTTGGGATTGAATCAGTGTTACATTTTCCCAGTATGTGCTTAAGCCGGGAACATCTGCCATAAAGATTTAAATTAAAATATAGTTTGCCTGATCAAATACCTCATGTTCCATCTTACTTTGCACGTCATGCACGCAAGATGTACGGTACAGTACTTGCAGGAATTCCTGCATAATCTCTCGTCTTGGCTCTGACGTGGCTGTGAACTGTGCACTTCCACGGTGCGCTGAGCGGCTCGGTGTCATACTTGAGCTGCCGGGGCTCGCAGTCCACGCCGGGGAGCAGAAGCCGTGCCGCCTGACGCACGTCATCGCTGTCCACCGAGAAGCTGCGCCGGTGCTCCGCGTGGGCCACGGCCACTCGGATCCACTCCATCAGCGGCGGCAGTACCAGAAACGGCCTGAAGAGGGAGACCACGCCATTGCAATCACCACAACACGGCACGAGAGCCTTCAAACTGCTTTTGGGAAAACCAGCAATTCAGTTTCTCTCAGGCTCATACGCACACTTTCTCATTTTTCAACATATTGGATATTACGTGGAAAAAGCTCATGCCGTACTGAGCCCAGAGAAAATTCCATCACCCTCATTTATGAAAGGTTAAATTCTCAGCTGTCATAGGAGATTCCACATTGAAATGAGTCACCGATGGAGCACCGATCCTCCGCTGCCTGGAGAAAAACGATACACCTGTGCAATGAGGCAGTGCTTTGAGAGAAATGAATAGTGGACAGTGATGCATCCACCTAAGCAAAGAAACGGTACATGAAGGAAAGAAAAGGGGCTCTTTCCCCAGAGAGGGACTGTGGAAAATGGGTGTAGTTAAGCATAACAATAAATTATTTACACCTCTGTGGCACTTGTTTACACCAAAGTGGTCTTCATATAAGAAGGGACCCCATTTCATCCACCTCTGAGCTCCAACAACCATGAGTGTGGGTGACATGAAGTGTAACAGCCATTAACAGTTATTATTTCCAGCAGCCATATCACCCTGGACTCACAACTGGCAGCCCACTGAAGCTCAGCAGGTGTGAGCCTGGTTATGGGAGACCTTGAATGAGAGACCTCCTGGGAAAAGCTAAGGTTGCTGCTGGAAGAGGTGTTACTGGGGTACTCACCCTGTGATCTGTGTGGGTCCTAATGCCCCAGTATAGTGAAGGGGACACGAACTGTTAAAAGGAGCCCTCCTTCAGATGAGACATAAAACAGAGGTCCTGACTCTCTGAGGTCATTAAAAATCCCAGGGCGTTTTCTCGAAAAGAGTAGAAATGCCCAAATTGCCCAGGACTCAGGAAAGGATCCTTTATCAGTCATGGCCTCATAATAATCCCCATCTATGATCTGGCTTCATCACTCTGTTCTCCACCCCACTGAGAGCTGGTGTGGTGAGCGATCTGGCGCACTATGGCTGCCGGCGCATCATCCAGGTGGGGCTACACACTGGTAGTGGAGGGGATCCCCATTACCTGTAAAGCACTTTGAATTGAGTGTCCAGAAAAGAACTTTATAAGTGTAAGGAATTATTATTATGCCTGGTAATCCCCACTACACAGCATATCAGGTGGGCAAGCTCAACTTTTCAAATAAGGGAGGACTTCAGGAAGGCCAGATTGCCCAAACCGAGAGTAGAATTTAGCCAGGTTAACTCTTCTACTCTTACAAATATTGCCACGTGATCTTTAATGACCAAGTAGTCAGGACTTCGGTTTAACGTCTCAACCTTACATCACCTTCTACAGCACAATGTCTCCTATTACCAATGGAGGGAACAGTGCTACTTACTGGACAACTAACATCAAGCAAGAACTTGTAACCTCCCTCAGAGGTCTACCAGTTCAGTCCTGGCATAGCTACTAAGATCAGGTAACAAGATGGTATGATGATATCATAACAGCAGTATACAAGTGATATAATGAAGAAGTGATATAATGCTTATGGTATACTGCAGGACCCGTCAGTAAATGCTCAGCTTGGGTGAAAGAACATCTTCTGAACTTGAAGCTGAAAAAATATAGGAAACTATACCTCAGTTGCTTTTGACAGGGAACGGGAATTTCTGATGACTCTCCAGATCAAATGTGAAAAAAGATTACAGTGAGACAGTTCCTAACCCATTCTTGTACAGTTTCTTATGGGCAGACACAGATTATGACATGATATTGACTATAATCAGGCTACACGCCCATTTATGTTTTAAGCTGATAGCTAAGTGACTGGTCAGTAAATTATTAAATTACATCCAATAAAATACAGAAACAATATATTTTACTTACATCTGGTTTCTTGGCTAATACTACATAGAATCTGCTTTAAAGAAATTATCAGAGCTCTGAGGATGGGACTCTTATCTCTTAAGAAACAGTGAGCTGTATTTTAATTGTTCAACCAACAAAATATAATTTTACTATGGGAGCTATTTTGAAAAATGAAGACAAAATAATGAAGAATAAACATGGCCTGTTTCAAAAAGAATTCATCGGAGTAATGAGAATGTGTCTCTTATCTTATAAAACACAATCAGCTACACTTTAATTACTTAGCAAATAAAACCAGCCTTCTGGATCGGGAGCAATATTGGAACAAGAAGACAAAATGGGAAAGAATTAACACTAACTTCAAAAAATCCAGAACGGCATCAAAATAGCCAATGAAGATTTTTACCATTTTATTTTTCTCAGTCAGTGTGAGTTTGTTTAGAAGACTGATTTTCATATATTGTGAGAAAGAGTTTTCCTGCGATCTCAGGACTGAATATCATGTTCTAATGAGTTAGAAGGCTGTCCAGGGTCAGGTCCCAGACTCGGTCTTTCGGAGGACCACTACGTCACTTGGTTTTCTTTGTAGCTCAGCTCGATATGGAATTGTTAAACAGATAGGTAATACCCCTCCCTTCGCCCCATCTTCACTCTTGCAGTTACCTCCCTTGTTCATTAAGCCAGCAGCCATATCACTCTGCAACTCAAAACTGGCAACCCACTGAAGCTCAGCAGGTGTGAGCCTGGTCAGTACCTGGATGCGAGACCTCCTGGGAAAAACTAAGCTGCTGGAAGAGGTGTTAGTGGGGCCAGCAGGGGGTGCTCACCCTGCGGTCCATGTGGGTCCTAATGCCCCAGTATAGTGATGGGGACACTATACTGTAAACAGGTGCCGTCCTTTGGATGAGACGTAAAACCGAGGTCCTGACTCTCTGTGGTCATTAAAAATCCCAGGGTGTTTCTTGAAAAGAGTAGGGGTGTAACCCTGGTGTCCTTGGCAAATTTCCAATTGGCCCTCACCAATCATGGCCTCCTAATAATCCCCCTCTATGAATTACTCTGCTCTCCTCCCCACTGATAGCTGATGTGTGGGGAGCGTTCTGGCGCACTATGCCTGCTGTTGCATCATCCAGGTGGGGCTGCACATTGGTGGTGGAGGAGGGGATCCCCATTACCTGTAAAGAGCTTTGAGTGGAGTGTCCAGAAAAGCGCTATATAAGTGTTAGCAATTATTAATTATTATTATTATAATAATAATTAATACTAGTTCCTCACTAGTGAGTTTTTATTTTTGTCAGTCTTGATCTGACGGCCAGGGCTCTCATTTCCTCAGCCTGGTTAAACTATTCATATATTAAGCACACTAATCCTCCATACTCCTCATCTCATCTTAATTAGAATTTGACTTGAAACCACTAAAATCTCCAGCAATAAATAATTACTATACTTGCTTCCTTATTTACACTTTGGTTAATCTGTTCCTGCAAGGCAGTCCTGAGATGAAAAAATATCTTAACTTCAAGGACAGTGTTTTCGGCAGCTTCAGCATACAGACCATGTGGCAGCCTCTCCTCAACCTACATACTGTTATATCATTGTAGGTGATGAATTTATGATGAACAGATACAGAAATGACAAAGTATCAGACATTCCCACAGTGAGCTTTTTATGTTCTGCAAAAATCATTTTGGCGACGTTTCAGCATGCCTGAATGAATAAAGTTCTGAATCTTAGAAACTGGTACGGGATTGAAACAAGCCCCAGCACGTATTTGATATTTTTAGAGCAGAAAGCAATATTTAAACATCTAACCTGGACAGAAAACTGAAATTAATTTGCCTGTGAGCAAAAACCTAGGTGACGCAGTGTTCCTCCAGGACCAGGGTGTTAGAAGCCACCAAGACAGCTCCAGTAAGCAGGGGGACGGACCCTGTGCAGGTTCCAACAGACAGGAGCCACTAAAAGAGCACTATAATTCAGTCCGGAAACTGGCTGAATTCAGGAACCAAGAAGACAATCCAAGGAGAAATAAAACACAAGAAGCAGGGGAAAGGAAACCAGAGTAACCCGGAGAAAATGATGTAAAAAGAAGAACAAGAAGAAAAACAAGGCCTGGAGCAGTACAGGAGTACTGAGTAAGATAAGAAGCAGGAAACAAGGTTCAGGAAAAGCCAGGTAAGTGAGGCCCTTAGTTCAAACCAGAGACATACAAGGGCATGAGAGTACAGTTTATATACAGCTAAGGAATGGAGTTGTGGAGCCCTGGGTGCACTTGTCAGTCTGTGATCGGCTAAAGCTTAGTACAGCTGTCTGCACAGTCTCCACCTCTGTTGCACGGCCAGGCCAGCAACCACTGCTTGAGACGCCCTCTGGTGGCGAGAAGATGGAACCTTAACACAGGGTAGAAAACCACTGTCCTACTGTATGTGTTACATTACATTCATAACGTTTGGTATAAATACATGAAACCTGCCCTATAGGATAAGATATAAGGTCTAAAGAAAAAAAAATATACATGGGAATTAGAGAGAAATCTGAGGCCACCATGCCTTTAAGCAGCATTAGGAACATTCAGCTTGATTTGGTTATATCTGAAAGTCTTCATATGAAGGACAAGTTCAGCAAAGTTGGAGTCTGAATCCCACCGCATATACATAAGACAAAAACAAACTCTACATTTGTAGTCTCTCAGAAATCATAAAAGGCAGCAACAAACAAGATCTATCTCAATCACAGCAGCTAATGTTGATTGAAGCTCAATAACCTCTCCTATAGTCCCAGTGCACAAGCATGTTACTCAGGGCACTGAAACTTCTTGTTCATACGAGCTTGTCGGCAAATGGATGATTTCTCTTTGTTGTTTCTATTGTATTCTGTGCCCTACTTTCTGCTAAATGTCTTTTCCAGAACACTCTCCGTCTGCTCTCCACATGGCAACCAAATTATCCAAATTATTCCTTCAGGGCTGAAAGTGAAAAGCAGCAATGTCTCACTTTCCATCAGCTCACCACAAGAAGGAAGTATCTTTATCCCAGTTAAAAACAAACCCCAAAACTTACAAAACCACAGGAATACCAATTTTAACTCTAGTCTTTAAGACATCTAGAAAGACAGCTGGTCTGTGTTGCACTGCTCTTAATGT